GAGGATTCAAAACTTCAAAATCACAATCCATCAATAAAAAAAACTTATTTTTCTCCATGACAATTATTAGGGTTTTAGCCAAGATGAACGTAGGACAAACAAAGAGTGATCGTAGGGTTTAATTATAGTGTTTGGGTTTATTGATAAATTTGAGTTTTATTATTAATTTCATTTTGTACTCAATAGTAATTATGCAATAGGGTAAAATAAACAATTAACATTTAAAATTTAAGTTGGGTGTAAAAAGAGGTTAAATGGGTTTAAATAAAATTTCCCTTTTGTAAATGGCTTACCGCTTACATTGAATAATTGTTTTTAATATTTTTTTTATTTGTCAAACATTAGATTTTGTTATATTAAATGTTAATTAGCCGCCGACAGGATTCTAACCCACACTATTATGCAAAGGCTTAACTCATTTTCACCATTGTGGTAAATAGCTACTTGCATTTGTTGAGGAAAGTAAAGCATGTTAGGGCTAATTTGATGTAATATGATATCAATCACCTAGATTGAGTGCTTTCCCTCTATATGGATGTGTAGAATAAGGAACAACTTATGTAGGCATGATTGTAGGATCTTAATTGATCATTGTATTGTATAAATATCCTTGTATTGATCTATTGTAAAGTGAATGAATTCATATATACAATTATCGAATTCTTTACATGGTACTAGAGCTTCTGGGCCTCTGATAACCAATTTCTTTGCCGTTTACAACACAGCAAGAAACCCTAACAACCATATTTCTTCTCGCCGACATCCATGGCGCTCGAAGATACCACCATAACCAAATCCTTAGCCAAGCCTGAGATGAGCAAGTATGATGATCCCAGTGATCCGCTTTATCTCCATCACTCTGATCAGCCTGGAGTTATCTTAGTTACTTAACAACTAAATGAAGAAAACTATCCAACCTAGAGTCGTGCCATGATCACGGCTCTCAGTGCTAAAAATAAGGAAGGTTTTATTGATGGGACCATCAAAAGGCCAAGAGGAACTTCTGCCACATAACTTCAACGGTGGACACGCAGCAATAATCTTGTCAAGTCATGGCTTCTCAACTCGGTCTCCCAAGATATTAGAGCAAGTGTGATTTACAATAACATTGCTCATGATATCTGGGATGATTTGAAGGAACGTTTTTCACATGTGAATAACGTACATCTCTTTCATATTGAACAAGAGATACATGGATGCGTTCAAGGCAATATGAATATTGGTGATTACTATACCAAATTGAAGGGTCTTTGGGATGAGCGATGTTGATGCACAAAATCGGAGGTCTTGGAACAACGTAAATCCAACTGTGAATCTGCAGAAAATGTAAATAACACAAGATGTATCGTGGTTCACCCTAATATTTGGGCTACGTCCACACTGATTGTATTTCTCTGACTGTATGTATGGATTACAAAGGTGAGGGGGAGTCCCCCAAAGAAAGAGAGTGTTGTTGAGTTTGTGAGGGTATTGCCCTCTGTTGGGTTCACAGAGTCCGATGTATGAAGAGGGGAGGAGTCCCCTTTTATAGAATAAGAGGCTCCTCCTTTTACATAATTATGGGCTGGGTAATGAGGCCCAAATGTTGAGGCCCAATGTGTCAAGGACTGAGGCCCAATATATGTGGTACCAACAGTAGTCCTCCAAGTCTTCAGTCAAGAGAGTCTTTTGGCTGAAGACTTCAAATCCAATCCATGTAAGGGCCGAGGTGGCTAAATGTCTTGAACCAGTACTCAACCCAAGGCAATGCTCAACATAAAGCAATACTCGGCTAGAGGTATCACACGTTACGAGAATGCTCGGTTGGAGGCGATGCTCATTGCGAGGCTGCTCGACTAGAGGCTATGCTTTCGGCGAGCAGCCTCTGCTCGTTGCAAGGCTGCTCGACTATCTGCAAGAAGCCTCTCACCTAGAGGCTGCTCGTTGCGAGCAGCCTCTGCTCCTCTACTCCTCTAAACATATTACAACGAGCAGCCTCTGCTCCTCTAAACATTATATTTCCCTCCATCACTGCATACAGACTATCTGCAAGAAGCCTCTCACCAACAAGCTTGCTGTAATTTCTCAGATTCTCAATCCCGTTACACCTTCACCAACTTCTCTAGAGTAATTATGCAAATTACTAATTAATTACAACTTGACTTCTAAAATAATTAGTAATTAACCACTAGCTGCTGGAACTTTCTAACATTATTATTTAATTGCTTGCTGAGGTGTATATAGTTAGATGTTGTTATATTATAAGACAGTCTCTACAACTTGTTTTTGTTTCTTTCCTGATCTTTTTCCTGCCTCTTTCCCTTCCCCTTACCAGGACTCGGTCGTTTCTCAACTTTAGATGCCAAGATTTATATTATTATGGATGACTTTTCGTTTTTGTAAACTGAAGTAGTTTGATCAATCTCAGTGACCATTTTATGATAAAAACTCTTGTTTATATATGCATATCTGGCATCCATTTGGGTGTATTATATGGTTCATTTGACTATTAAGGAAAGATAGCTAACAGATGTTTAATCCTAATGCGCATTTTGCAATAGTTTTTAGCAGTGGGGCCTAAAAGTGGTCCATTCTTAATAAGTACAGTAGAGCACCACTAAATAGGTAATATAATAATCTAGTACATCATGGTCTTAAGTTTAAATTTTGTAAATAACTTACCGCTTACCTTGAATAATTGTTTTTAATATTTTTTTTGTGTCAAATGATAGATTATTTTAGATTGGATGTTAAATTAGCCGCCTACAGGATTCGAACCTACGTCATTATGTAAAGGCTTAACTCATTTTTACCACTATAATAAAGAGCCACTTGCATTTTTAATTATTCTTTCACATTTGGTCTTTTCTCTAATCACTTTTGTTTATAATTATGTAGTTGTTGTCATGCTATTTCTCAAATGCTTTAATTTCTAATCTAAAATAATGCATTATTGATGTTTGAATAGCTGTAATCACGGCCAAGAATCTTTTGAATTATCTTTGTCCTTTCGAGTTCATTTCTTTCCATTACTTTACTCTCTCTTTGTCTTTTACTGCAACATCAAGGCTGGCAGTAGGTGGTTTCTCAAGTCATACGCAAACATTATTATATCATAAATTTTTGTTTTTGTTGACTGAAGGAGCTTGACTTGGGTTTAGGTATTTCAATATCACCCGTTTAGAGCAACTCCACCCATGGAGCCCTCCCCCTGACAATCAACTATTCAATCCACCTTATTGAACAGTAACTGCCTTAAATGAATAGTAACTACCATTAATGAACAGTAATTGCCATTTACATCTCCACCATTGGAACCCTCCACCTGGCAATAAACAATTAAAATAATAGTTTTTTTTGTTTGTTTAAATAATAAAAAATTACAAAAGCTCTCTCTCTCTGACACAAAAAAAATAAAAAATTGCAAAGCCCTCGAGCCATAGGCCCGTCGACTCCCCACCCCACCTTCGCTCGGGCTCCCACCGTCGCTCGGCCTCCACACCGCTGGACCTCTCTCCATCGGCCCTCGGGCCCTTTGTCCTCGCCTGTCGCTCGAGCAACCAGCCTCCGCTGGAGTTGCTCTTAGCTATGGTTATCAACATGGTTATTAATAAGGATCCCCAATGATACCCATCCCCAAATCCGTCCGGAAATATATAATATAATATAACATAATATAACATAATATAACATAACATAATTAATATAATATATACGTATATTTACAATTATTGAAATTTTTTGATCATTTGTTTTGTTTTTCTTTCATAGTGGCTGTTGTATTTGCTTCTTTAACTAATAATTTTTTTGCATTAATAAAGATGAATATAACCGTTAAGTGATAAGAATCCGTTACTCGGTGAGTATGCTATAGATAATCTCCAATGGTTAATTTGTGATTATGAATATGGTTAATTTTCATGGTTATATGAATAGATATAACATTTATGTCCTAAAAACGATCTATTGTCATCCCTAATTTAGTTTGAAGCCTACTCGAAAAGTCGGATACCCGTATCTTAACACAGTATGTGCTGCATTTTGGCACATAAGCTTTGTTGTCTTTCTACGGATAGTAGAAGGTGAAAGATAGTTTTGATTTGATTGTACCTGAAAATGATTTGTTCTTTCCACTCTCCGTAAGAGCTGTCAATTCTTTTGATTTAGAGTATGAATTTTGGTTTTCTTTATGCATTCTGCATTTTGTTGTTCTTTTTATTTTATGGGTTTTAATGAAAAGTTTTATTTTATGGGATTTAATAAATAGTTTTATTAGCTTGTTTGGATCTCCTTTTTGTTGTGGTTCTTGATTTTCTTCAAGAATCTATAATTAACGAATTGTTGGTTAGTTTCGAGTTTGTGCGACTTTTCCTAAGAGAAAAGAAAATACACTGGAATTGCAATTCGATATGATTGAATGATTTATGAGACCACTAATACACCTAGTACTTCTACGTTTACTCCGGTGACCCTCAATTTCTTTATCTTCTAGGCTGCCTTTTTTTTAATCAATTTACCTATTGCAACTTAGTTTGATCCCTCTTTGTAAATTAGAACAGATTATCGTAATTTGTGTAATCACTTGTGTTTCTCGTTCACTACTTCCTCCGCTTCATTTCTCGAAAATCCTTTCTTCCAACCGGAGTCCCATGTCCAATTCACCACTCCTCTACACATTATATTTCCCTCCATCACTAGATACACTATCTGCAAGAAGCGTCTCACCAACAAGCTTGCTGTAATTTCTCAGATTCCCAATCCCGTTACACCTTCACCAACTTCTCTAGAGTAATTATGCAAATTACTAATTAATTACAACTTGACTTCTAAAATAATTAGTAATTAACCACTAGCTGCTGGAACTTTCTAACATTATTATTTAATTGCTTGCTGAGGTGTATATAGTTAGCTGTTGTTATATTATAAGACATTATACATATGCTAAAACCCAACACACAAAAACACTGTTCATTAACAGTGTTCTTCCATTTTCACCCCTGCTTCTTTTTTGTTATTTCAACTTTGCCCTTTCTTATATGTCGACCCAGCTTTGCTATAGATGCTTCCCCACCGTTTCAGACTCTAAACCCCACCTTCTCGACTTTTGCTCTCCCCGTCTCCCTCCTCGCCTCTCTTCTCTGCACCAAGCACCTCGATTTAGGGCTTCACCATTTCTCTTCGAATCAAGGTCTTTATTTCTCTCCCTATTTTGTGTTCCTCATTCTATTTTCGTATTTTTATGCTAAAGTTTCCAATTGCTTGATTAAATCGTTAATTAATCTTTTTTTTTCCATGAAATATTTGGGAAATCCGTCCAGAAAAGGATCGAATCGCATTAATTGCTTGCTGTGGTGTATATTGTTAGCTGTTGTTATATTATAATACATAGTCTCTACAACTTGCGTTTGTTTCTTTCCTGATCTTTTTCCTGCCTCTTTCCCTTCCCCTAACCAGGACTCGGTCGTTTCTCAACTTTAGCTGCCAAGATTTATATTATTATGGATGACTTTTTGTTTTTGTAGACTGAAGTAGCTTAACTAGGCATTTTTGTATAAACTTCAGCCTCGTCCATTCGGCAACACAAAAACAACCATTGCCATTTGTTTTTGGTCGTGAGCTGAACTACTGCAGTGCGATAATGGTGGATACCACCATGACAGCCCACGGAGCCTCCTCTTCATCATCCTCCTCAAAACTCTGGAAGTACGACGTGTTCTTGAGCTTCAGAGGCGAAGACACACGCAAGGGCTTCACGGCCCATCTCCATGCAGCACTGAAAGAAAAGGACTACGAAGCCTTTATTGATAATGACAATCTGAAAAGAGGGGAAGAAATAAAAGAGGAACTGTTCCGGGCAATCGAAGAGTCAAGGATCTCTATTATTGTGTTCTCAAAGAGTTATGCGGATTCAAGTTGGTGTCTCGACGAGCTGGTGAAGATCATGGAGTGTAGATCCCAACTGGGGCGACATGTTTTGCCAATATTCTATCATGTTGAAGCTTCAGACATCAGGAAGCAGGAAGGTAGTTTAGCCCCAATATTTGAGAAGTACGAAGAGGATATCCGTGAAGAAAAAGATGACATAAAACGCGAACACAAGAAGAAAAAGGTGAAGCAATGGAGAGAGGCTCTTACTCAGGCTGCAAACTTGTCCGGTCAAGATCTCAAAAACATTGACAACGGGTAACCATTTATTTTATGTAGAACTAGATTTTAATTCTTAATTAAAATAAAGTTTATATTAATGTCTGGTAAAAGATTCAAAATGGAGTTTAGTCCCTTGGTTCAATTTAAATGTTCATCACTTAGTAATACATTCTTAGGTTCGATTCTCGCCAAAAACGAATTTGAACCACATTATTGCTAGCTTATTGTGAGGTTAAATCCACTCCCTCTCCTTAATGTAGTTAATATTAGGGGTGGGCACGGGACGGGTCGGGCCCAAATTCAGAGGAACTGGACCTAGCCCGTTTAAAAATGCAACATGGCAGGCCGGGACGGGTAATGGAATTTTTGAATTTGGAACCGGACCTTACCCGACCCATTTCAAATGGGCCGGTTCTAGCCGTGTCCACGGGCCCTTTGGAACAAATTACTGTATCTATGTATTATCTCCTTGCCGAGTGAGAACATGAACCTTTTATCCAATGAAGAAGTAGATGGAAAAATTAACTTGAACTGAATGAGATGGAAAAATTAATTTTTTGGTCAAAACATGAATTTTTTATCCAACACAATAAATAAATAAAAACTTGAATTGAATCAGATGGAAAGAAACAAACACAAATTCTGTAGTGATAGACTTTCTTTGCATCTCCACACACAATCTGCAACCCATACTTTCTTTGCTCTCTGTCCCATCTATTGAATCTAAAACCAATACATAATCTACACACTTCTCTATGCATCTCCACCCATTTTCTTCTCTATAATTGAAATGAAAACTTTATCACATCTTCACGAATAGCACAAAATCTAAATATTTAGAACTTATACCCTAGCAGCAAATCAATAACCCAAATTCCCTAAATCTAAAAAACCCTAAGTTACTCTTCCTAAATCCCTAAAATTGAATACCTTTTGTTTGAAGATTTGGCCTCAACAAGAACCGTTAGGTGGTGTCGGAGTTGAGAGAAGCTGATCAGATAAATACACTAATCATCATAGGCCTAATCAGATAAATAGTCTCTATGATGATAAGGCAATTGGAAGATAGCCCACATGATAAAAGTATATTTTACATCCTCTTTCCTCCCCTTACTCTCTCCACTGCACCCTCCTCCGCGCCACAACCCACCACCCCTTCATACCCCAACCGAAACACCGCGCCAATTTGAATTAGAAAAGGGATTGTTTGCTAGGATGATTTTGAGAAGAAGTGATGGAAATTTCAAGGGAAAAAGATGTCTCGGAAGTGAGTATCCCCAAAATTTTAATTCTAAAGCTTGGGCACAAGTTGATGCTCAGAAGCCAAGTATGCGGAATAGTGGTGGATTAGGAAGGTGATGCAAAACTTTGGATCTTATCTCGTAGAGCACAAAGCATGCTTTCTGTGTGTGTATATTCATTCATCACAACAGTACAAAACTAGCCGTTAGGCTTGAGGGAATATACAAGAACGTATGAGCTCATCCAACCGTATATTACAAAGCCCTGTGAGACCTTGCCACTTGCTCACATCTGAGCCTAAGAGAAAATGAATTAATCTTAGCCTTTGAACATTAACAACCTCTTGCCACATCAACAAACTATTAATTAAGGCTAAATAAGTCAGTTTAGACCTTAACAACTAATAATCCCTTCTAGGGTCTAAAGTGAAATCACTCCTAACTTGTTTCTCAAGCAATTGAACCTGTCATTTACCAATGGTTTGGTGAAGATATCAGCAAGCTGCTCTTCACTCTTGCAGTATTGCAAATCAGTGATCCCTTCTTGAATTGCATCCCTGATGAAATGAAACTTCTTCTTCATATGTTTCAACCTTTGATAAAAACTGGATTCTTTGACACAGCAATGGCTGAAGAACTAATAAATTATAATATATTTCGTTATAAACATTTAAGTACACAAATTCAATATAGTATAGTTCGGTACATATATTTAGGTACAAACATTTTGGCATACTAATAAATTATAATATATTTCGTTATAAACATTTAGGCACAGACATTTCGGTACAAACAAGTCAATTTAATATGTATCGGTACAATCATTTTTGTACACCTTTGTAATTTTTAATATGGAGACATTAAATAACAAAATTTTAATATGAATTTTAATAAAAGTACACTTCAAAGGTTTAAAATTAATATGTAATCTAACACCATTTTTTTTTTAAATTTCTATGTTTTTCAAGGTTTAATGCTCAAAAATCCCTTTATTTTATTGAACTTTAATTTCCTTTATTACTTGGTTAATATTGTTGTTATTTATGATCCGCCTTTCCATATTTGAAACGTTTTAATGGACACTACAAAGAAAAAGCTTTTTTTTTATTAGCACTCCACATAATATTGAATACACCCACATTAAAATTTAATATTAAATAATTTATATCCTCATATGCAATGACAATTTTGACCTCATAGGTTTAAAAAAATAAAAAATTTCTAAATATATCCCAAATCACTTTTAACGTGTATATCCTAAGATTATTTATCTTATTTAACTCTAAAAATCACTCTCACCATCCATTGTAAAACAAAACTCTAATCAATGGAACTAAAAACACGTTGATTAAAAAAATTTCTTTTTAACAAATGGAACATGAAATCGACGTTTCAAAAAAATATGAATAATGTTTTCATGTTTCTCGTGTGGTTTTCAAATTTTTTTTCGTCAATCATGAATTCTCAAATCTAAATTTTCGTTCTTTGAAAATAAGGAGAAACAACATCAAAACAACCTCATAATTTGAAGATGTGAATAGTGTGAGGTGTAAAAAATTAAAATAAATACATAATATATGTATTTGAACCTAAGATGTGAAGAGAGTGAGGTGTACGTAGAAAATGTAGCATGTATATTGAGAGTGTGGATTGTGAGGATATTATGAAAAAATATGGGTGGTAGATTAATAAATTTTTTAATTGAAAGAGAAAATATGAGGTGTATTAAGTATGTGAGGTGTATTCAACAATATGTGGGGTGTTAATAAAATAAGTCTATATTTTCTTCTGATTAATTAATTTTTGCAAATAGTAAGTCACTGCAAGTCTACACCCCCCTTTGTATTACTTACTAGTTGAGTTTTCAGGCATGAAGCAAAGCTTATTAGGAGAATTATTTATGAGAATATTTGGGAATTGCTCCCCAACACAACCGAATTACATGTGGCCAAGCACCCAGTTGGAATCAATTCTCGCATTCAAGATATTATCAATGATCTTTCAAGTGGTAGATCAGATGATGTTCTCATGGTTGGAATTTGGGGGATGGGTGGATTGGGCAAAACAACAGCTGCCAAAGCCATTTATAACCAAATTCATCGTAACTTCCAATCCAAATGTTTCCTTGTTGACGTTCGTGACATTGCAAGCCAACATGGTTTGGTCTATTTGCAAGAAAAGTTTCTTTTTGACATCTTACAACCTCCCAAGTCTCAAAATTTTAGCAGCGTTGATGCAGGGGTCAGTGTTATAAAACAACATCTCCAACATAGAAGGGTACTTGTCATTATTGACAATGTAGATAAGTTTGACCAACTAGATGCAATTGTTGGGACTCGGGATCGGTTTGGTCCGGGAAGTAGAATTATCATTACAACAAGGAATGAGCATTTACTAAAGCAAGTGAAGGTGGACAAGGTACATGAGGCTCATAAAATGAATGATGAAGAAGCTCTTGAGCTCTTTAGTTGGCATGCTTTTGAGAATAGTTGTCCAGATGAAGGATATTATGAACTGTCAAAAAATGTAATTTCTTATTGTGGAGGTTTGCCATTGGCACTACAAGTCTTAGGCTCTTTACTAGTTGATAGAGCCTTAGAAGAATGGAAAAGCCAACTGAAGAAATTGGAAAAAATTCCTGAAGGAGAAATTCTAAAAAAACTCAGAATAAGTTTTGTGGGGCTAGATGTTATACAAAAGGCTATTTTTCTTGATATATGTTGTTTCTTTATTGGAATGGACAAGAACTATGTCACAAAAATACTAGATGGATGTGGCTTTTCTGCAAAAATAGGAATTAGTGTCTTATGTGAACGTTGCCTTGTAACTGTTGATGAAGACAAGTTGAGGATGCATGATTTGCTTCGAGATATGGGCAGAGTAATCATTTCTGAAGAATCCCCTAGTTCCCCTGAAAAATGGAGTAGATTGTGGCATCCTGAAGAAGTAACAGATGTATTGACAGACATGTCTGTAAGTATTTTTTTAAATAAATTTGTAGATTAATGCATCATACAAAGACAATCATATGCAAATTATTTTTTTAAATTATTTTTCATATGCAGATTACCCATCTTTATTACTCATTATGTAACCTTTTGTTTAACAGGGAACTGGAGAAATTCAAGGACTAATTCTAGATTGCTTCAGCTCTAACAATGCTAGTTTCAGTACAGAAGCATTTGCCAATATGAAGAAACTGAGATTGCTTCAGCTCAACTACGTAGGCCTCACTGGAGACTACAAACACCTTCCCAAAAAGTTAATATGGTTGTGCTGGCGTGGATTCCCTTTGCATTCCATACCAGATAACTTTTTAAATCAACCACAACTAGTTGTTTTAGACATGCAGGGCAGCAAACTGGTACAAGTTTGGGAGGGTTCCAAGGTACAATCAATTACACATGATGATGTTCTGTTTCTGTTTGATTTTAGATTTTCTTCTCTTTTTTTTATAACATCTTTCTTTTGCATATTAATTTCAATTTTCTTTTAATTTTGTGCAACAGTCTCTTCAGAAGTTGAAAATCATTATTCTCAGTCATTCCCTTCACTTAAAAAAATCACCGGACTTTTCACAACTCCCAGATCTTGAAGAGTTAATATTGGAAGGGTGTGAGTGGTTGTCCGAGATTCACCCATCCATTGGTCATCTTAAAAGACTTTCTTTGGTGAACCTTAAAGGATGCTGCATGCTTATTTCTCTTCCTGGGGATTTCTACAAGTCAAAATCTGTTGAGACTCTTTGTCTTAATGGGTGTTCAAAATTCACAGAATTGCATGAGAATTTAGGGGAGATGATCTCATTGAGAATACTTGAAGCAGATTTAACAGGCATAAGACAAGTACCACCTTCCACGGTAAGATTGAAGAAACTCACTCGTTTATCGGTAAGGTTAGGATCGAAGAGTCTCAATCATTTATCTCAAAGGTCAAGATTGAAGAATCTCGCTCGTTTATCTCGAATGAATATGCAAGTGCAACCGTTGGGGTTGCCTCTTCATTTGCCCCATTCGTTACATGGCTTACACTCTTTAAGAGAATTAGATCTCTCATTTTGCGAATTAGCCGATAACGAAATGCCTGAGGATCTTGGGAGTTTAAATTCTTTACAAAAATTGGATCTTCAAGGGAATAAATTTCACACCCTTCCCGATCTCAGCGGTCTTTCAAAGCTTGAAACTCTACGGTTAAGTGGATGCAGATATCTTCATAGAATGCTTGGTTTACCAACAAATTTGAAATTTCTGTATGCGTTTCATTGCTCTGCATTGGAAACAATGCCCAATTTTTCGAAAATGTCAAATATGAGAGAACTGCATTTAAGTGATTCTCCGAAACTCACTGAGGTTCCAGGGTTGGATAAGTCATTAAACTCCATGACATGGATTGATATGCAAAGTTGCACCAATCTCACTGCTGATTTCAGGAAGAACATCCTACAGGTAGGTATCGCTCTCTCTCTCTCTCTCATTTCCTTCCTATCGTGCGCATGCACACACAAACGCACATGTACATGTATATATATATATATATATATATATATATATATATATATATGACACTTGCATTGTATATATAGGGATGGACTTCTTGCGGATTTGGTGGCATTTTCCTCCATGGGAATTATCTTCCTAATTGGTTTATGTTTGTCAACAATGGCAATAAAGTCAGTTTTGATATTCGCCAAAGTGACAATGATCATAATTTTGAAGGGATAACTTTGTTCTGCTATAACCGCTCAGGCAATAGAGTTCATCCTCCTCTTCCTCTTGCCATTACTGTTATAAATAATACCAAGCGTACTAAGTTACGGGTCTGCATGGGCAATAAAGATTGGGAGGAGCTAATATATGACGACAATTATCTTTGGCAGGGACAATTATCGAACAATAAGCTCAATTTGCAAGTCGGGGATAAAGTTGAAGTTGATATAATTTTTCCAGAATTTGATTTTTCTACGATATTGCAGAAAACGGGGGTTAATCTAGTATGGGACAAACATATGAAGGAAAATATGCATGATTTGGACAAAGCTGGTTATACTTTTGAAACAAATGCAAGTAGTGAATCTTCAGAGTCCGAGCCCGAAGAGCGACCTCAAGCTCAACTCTCCATCCCTGGTCTGCAAGCAACTCCAACTAAGAAAAAGACAAGGGCACAGGCTTCCAAAGCCTCTCAATCTTCGAGGTCTTCTGTTGCTCATGCTCCTGAGGCGGGTAGGAAAAAACAAAGGGCTTCTAGTAAGTTGTCCTTTTCCTATTTAGTTTCAGTCTTTCTCAGTAGACTAACCACTCCTTTTTCTTTGAAATCAGGACCTCAAGCTACCAAGAAGCCCACAGTTGTCTCAAGAGAGGAGCCATTGGGAGCAAAGTTATATAAAAAAGACAAGCCCGTTATTGATGCTACCCTCAAGGAATTGGAGGTATAGTTTCAAAGATCATTTCTTCTTCAGATTTCTCTCTCTCAATATCTGCACTATCTCCTCACTTGCTTTCTCCTCTTTATATATATATATATATATATATATATATATATAGGACATTAGAGGTGAGGGGTCCATTAAGCCCGAGGCTTCTTCTCCTTCTGCCCGACCAAAGCATGTTTCCCCCTCTCGGGCTAAGCCTTCAAAGGTATATCTCTTTTTCATTCCTTAAACTTGTATCTTCACCAATTTCAGAGCTTTAACACTTTTACTTTTTGTAGGCCAAGGTTGGAGAGCTCGCTTCTCAAGTCGGGCAAGGTTCTTCTTCTATTCCTTCAACCTCTCCTTCTTTGGTGGTGGCTCCTACTTCTCAATTTGACCCGTCAAGTGGGGAGATGCTGCACTTTGTGGAAGACAACAGTAATTCGGTGAGTGTTTTGTCTTGACATTCTGTGTTTAAAGCCTTATCTTTCTTTTATACTTATCCCATTTTCTTTCTTTAGTCCTTCCCAGGGCATGAGTCACAGCAACTAGCTGCAACAGCCTTCGGGGAGCCTATAGTCCCTGATATCCCAGTGGTCTCAGAAGTGACTAGCCCACAGGCTGCTGGGGCTGTTTCTACTGATACAGTCGTGGCATCAAAAGTGCCTATCTCCCAACCTCAGGTATACTATTACTTAAGCTTTTTTATTTTCTATTTTCCTCAAACCACATTACTGACACTTGTCTTTTTTTTTTTTTTTTTGACCTTTGTAGGCTTCTGTTGAAGGTTCGGGCAACACCCCCCAACTTGCAAGTGTGAATGATCCCTCTCAGCATCCAAGTGTCACAACTCATCCTCCTTCTTCCAAGGCTTCAGGTATATCAATTTTCCTTTTCTCGCCTTCCTGTTGTATGCTCTGATTTGTAATCTTTCTTCTTAATTTGTTTTCCTTGGTTTCCAACAGGGCTCTGAAGAGGGCTCGGGCAGATCTCCCCCACCCTTGATACTTAAATCTGATCTTCCACAACCTCTTTTAGCTTCTGGGGTCATAGGGATTCATATCCCTAGGCCTAAGAATAAAACCAAGACCACCACTGCTCCTACATCTTGGGCTCCTTCATCCATTGAGACCTCCTCCATTGATGCACCCTCTGAAGGAGCAGGAGCACTACCATTTTCCTCTGTACCTATCTCTACAACAACATCTTTGCCTGAGCTTTTTAAAGAGTTCGAGCTTCTTAAGACAAAGTTGAGATCTTCAAGGCATCCCTCTGAGTCTTCAGGCCTTCAAGATCAACGCCGAGTCTTCCAAGAGTGGTCTATGAGGGATTTCTCAGCATCCTTTAACCTCAAGGCTCTCCACGACGTGGAGAAGGCTATTATTGATTTGTTCAAGGCTAATCAGCTATCCAAAGCTCAATATGAATCATTCCTCTCTTATTTTGAGAACTTGAGGGCTTTGAGGGATCAACATCAGAGGGCAGAGAGGCAAGCCAATCAAGTGAGGTGCTTTAAGGAGAAACAATCTAGTACTTCAACTCATATTCAACAGCTGGTAGATGAAGGTTCAGCAACGAAGGAGAGGATCAATGTGGTAACTTCTGAGATCCAGAAGTTAGAAGAGCAACTTGTTGTACTGAAGTCTAAACAGGTGACTCTCCTTGGCAAACTTCAACAACAAATTGAAGAAGTGAAGAAGGCAAATCTGGAACTGGAAGATGCTGAGTCTCAACTTGTTAATAGCAGCACTGTTTTGGCCGAGCCTACCAGAATTTTTAATTATGCAAACTTACCACTCCAGAATAATTACTTTGGGTGAAGATGTAAATCTGTTAGGCTAGGGCCATTGTAACTTCCTTTTTGTGAAATAAAAGTATTCTTCATCTTTACTTATTTCACTTCTTGCTTTACATTGAAGTCTTACTGCACCATCTAACTTTAATTTTCCTTGAGATAACTAACCCTTCTCAATATAACAATTTCTAACATCCCACAGAGTTTAATGGTATTTCTTTAGAAACTTAGCATTAACTGTATGTCTTTGCAAGTTTCCTTCCAAATCTGCCAAGTAATATCCTCATTTATCCAGTGCTTGGTGAATAATAAAATGAGCTTCCCAAGTAGGACTCCATTTCCTAAAGCATCTCACTTGAGCTCCTAAGGGCAAAACTGCTTTCCAAACTAATTCTCCTTCCTTGAAGTTTTTCAACTTCAGCTTCTTATTGTATGCTCGGGCAACAGCTCTCTTCTCTTCCTGAATTTTATTTAGAGCTTCAATTTGGGCTACATCTAGGTTTTCAACTCCTTGACACTTAGCCTAAATGTATTCTTCATTATGCAGCCCAAACTGATTTTGAATTATAATAGAACTGACATTAATCTCCATGGGGAGTACAACATCCTGCCTGAAGGTTAAGATATAATGAGTAGTTCCAGTTTCTGCCCTCTTGGAGGTTCTGTAAACTGATGCGAAAATTAACTTAACACACAAATTAAACCCTCTTGTATCAATTGTAGTAAAGAATGTAAGTAGGGATCGTTCTGGACCGGGGATTAGGAGGGCTTGCTAATAACCTCTAAATTGACTTTAAAACATATAAACAAAGTTAAAAACATTAAACTAGACTTAAAGAACTCAAAACAACTAATTAGATTCAAACTAGACACTAAGAATGACTTTGGACGAAAATTGATTTTATCTTGAGTTAAAACACTTAAAAACACAATCTAAAACAAGTACTAACTAATAGACACTCTAAAGTAAAGGGGGATTTGGTTTTGGATGAATTTAAGTAAAAACAAGTAACTAAAGACTTAAAACAAATTTTGGATGAATTTGGTGATTTGAATGGATGATGAGCTAGCTAGAAGGTCTTTCTCCACACATAACACACTTGCATATAAAACGATTTCCAGTTGCTTTTCAATAAACCATGAACCTCAACACCCCAGATTAATTAGGTACGCTTAAATTAATCCTCAGATTTTCCTAATTTCATTGAATTGGATTATTGCATACAACAACCCAAAGCATTCCCCACAAGTTCCCTACATGAATTGCATAATAGAGATACAAGCAAGAATCATTAAGTTCTATGAAAATCATAAACATTGACGAAACACTTGTAACTATGAATTGCATGAAACTTATGCCAAGAATTTACTTAACACGGTTGTGACGAACAACCTTTACTACTTGTGAATATAAGTTCATAACGATTAGGTGAAACTCCCTTATATCCTAGCATCATATTTATGCATGGAAATTAAGCGTGCACTCTCAACCAACATACACAAATCAGTTTTAATTCAAATGGATAAGTAAATTGAATTCACAACTTATGAATCACAACTGAAAGTAATCAAATCATATTGCAAGCATGAACATGGTTTCAAATTCCCCCTAGCTAATGGGGGTTTTAATTCCTCATACTTACAAAGCAAAGATAAACAAATTTAGACATTGAAAACAAAAGAAAGAAAACACCTAAAAACGCTCCAACAATCCAACTTGAATGGCAAACACGTTCAAGGGTCCTCCTTCTTCTCTTTGTTGCGGCACAAGGTGTGGTTTGATGGATAAGTGGTAAATTATGGTGGTGGATGGATATAGGTCAGTTATGGTGAAAGGTAGATGGGTGGATTGTGTTCTCTTTGGTTTTCTTCTCCCTTGTTATGGTGAAGGGTGGATGTATTTATAGGCTAGGGAGAGGAGTGTATGGAGTTGTAATGAGTGGATGTAATGGGTGTAGTGGGTGAGTGTTGTGGTAATGAGTGGATGTAATGGGTGTAGTGGGTGGATGTTTGGTAATGAGTGGATGTAATGGGTGTAGTGGGTGGATGTTTGGAGTTGTAGGTCAACACACTTGCACACACACATGCTGATTTTTAGCCTTCAAATCTTCAAAAACATCCATCCTCATGTCTCCATGCTTGCACTATCCAATCTTGGCTCAAAAATGCTCTAAAATGCTTCAAAATGCACTTTATTGCCAACTTTGTTATTATGACCTACAAATACACGAAAATAGCTTAAAATACATAATTAACTAAGAAATAACAACACAAATGCACAAGAACAAGCTAACTAAGTCGCATAAATATGCTCCTACCCCCACACTTAGCTTTTGCTAGTCCTCGAGTAAAACAAAAGAAATAAAACGAAACAAAACAAACAAAACATAACCTAACCTTCCAACATTTGCCTTAGGGATTTTCAATGAAACATGACATGCCAAAGATCACCACTTACATAGAATTAAGCATTCCTTACCCTCGAGCATACTTAATCATAGTCACCATTCACTAGCTCACATTTAATCAATTAAAACAGCATTATGAATATAGTAACATGCCTTGAGAATTTCCTCAATTCCTTACTAGATACACTCTTATTTTCACACAAGAATTTCATACTACACTCCCTATACTAGGTATATGTGAGAAGATTGATGTAAACATGAAAACTAGTACTCACATATGTTTTTCAACAAAGAAGCAATTTCTGGAATTATTAATTCATGTATTTATATGATCTCATGAATGGAATGCTACTACTTAGATGCGAGAACCAGTGACACCATATGCTCATATCAATTTCAAACTCCACAAATTGAAACACATAACACTCAAGATTGAAGTTAAGGGTTGTAACATGGCTTGGGGGTAATGGCTAACAAAAAAAGGATAGGAATAACAAACATTCTAAAAGCAATAGTAAGCAACGTAATGAAATAGACGCTTGGAATTTACTTAATAATGCAGAAATTAACTTTTAAACACAACGGGAAGATTCAAGCAGTACTTAGGGCCGAATTCAATGTTTTGGACCCTTTCTTCAACAAACAACACTTTAGAGCTATTTTTCACCACTTTTCTTCTTTTCATTCTATTTTCCACGAATGTTTCTTTTTTTTTTCTTTTTCTTTCTACCCGTGCCTTATTAAGGACTTTGGCGCACACACACACACAAGAATCACTTCCCCCACACTTGTTTTTCTGCAAAAGTTCAACAAAAGGAATTCCTTCTAAATTATGTTTTACTATGCTTCAAGAACAATGGTATGGATGGTCCTAATCTAGGCTAGGTGAGGATAGTGTGGGTTAACAAAGAACATAGGCTACACAAGGCTCAACGGGGTTAAACTTAAACACATAATGAACAGGGTAGGCTTTTTGGCTCTTGGCTCACTAAACAACTTCATCTTGAATATGTGTTATGCAAATCAAAAACATGCTTTGAATGAAATAGGCATGAGTTCTAGCATTTGGAACTAAATGATGAAACGCCTTCTAAGTAGCAACCAAGCAAAGAATAATGAGATCATGCAACGACTTTAGAAAACAAAAAAAACTGCACAGATTAATAACTCTCCAAATAAACGTTTAGGCCCAAGTCTCTCAAGGATGTAACGTTAGTTTGAGTTCCTTCTTTCAAGCATGTTGCAAAAAAAAACTGATTTTTCCTTTTATGATTGCATGTGAATTCATAAATTATAACCACAACCAAGCATACACCAAAGAGTAAATCAAATTTTCATCCATGTTTATAACTCTCTTTAACAGTCATGTAATTAAAAACCAAATCCTCATCATTGTGTTGGAAGGTACCCTAAGACACAAACAAACATACAAAAACAATTTTTCAAATTTTTATGAGATTTTCGGATTTTTATGTCAAAACACACTGAAACACTCCAAAACAGCTTAAAACACTTAAAACAGCAAGGAACAACACTAGAAGTAATGGGTGATAAACTCCTACGAATTTCATGCAAAACAATGGTTACCCCCCCCCCACACTTAAATCAAACATTGTCCTCAATGTTTCAAGCATAAACTCACACAAACAAACAACGAATAAACATGACAAGTATGGCAAAGTAAAAATTACACAGAGTAGAGTTTAAGAACGCAAATTTGGTTTTGGAGATAGATGATCTTGTTATTTTTCCACAGCTTTGATCTCGAACTGGTTTGGAATTCTGAGCGAGGAATATGATAGTTCCTTGGTTTCAAATCAGACTCCTTCTGCTGGGTTGATTTGATTGTGCAGTCTGCATTCTTCTTTGCTTGTTTCTTCTGCACGCCGGGAAGGCACGAGGTAAAGGTGTTGGTCTGTTTCTTTCTTCAATCTTTCCAAGTGCCCACCTCTTACTTTCTTTCTCCTTGTCCTTAGCTGAGGATGAATTGGCAAATTATCTCCACATGCTTCGAGGTATCATTTTCACTTCCCTTATCTGTTCCTCAGGCAGATATGGTAGATGAAGAGGAAGCATAAAATGATGAAGATGAGTACTCGAGAGCAAGGCTAGGTAAGCAATCAGGAAGGGGTTCCAGGCAGTCGGTTCCAAATCGGAAAATTGATACCAAGTGCTGGCTGATTGCTCTCTTTCTCCTTGTCTTAAAACAACGACAATGAGAAGGACAGGGAGAAAGCATGATATGAGATACTCTTGCTTTCAACCTTCATGATATGAAATACTTTTGCTTTGAATGGGTTGTTTGCAGAGGTACCCCAAGGAATAAGGAACACTGAGTGACTCGAGAGGGTTTGTTGGAAAGGCATTCTCGGAGATGACGGAAGGTAATGTATGTCTGCCTTGCCATGGAGGGTGAAGGTCGACATTTATAGGAAATAATAACAGGTACTGTTCTTTCACTCTTGTCGGCAACCGTTGGATGATTGAATAGTAAACTTAACGTGCTTTCTACTTCACAAGAGATCTTCGACAGATTGCCCGTAATTTTTGTAAAGCTGACTGTGCATGTGACAGACGCTAACACGTCTGGAAAAGTAAGTGCCTCTTCGATATCTGGAATCGGCGCTTCAACAAACTGCCCGTGATTTCTGTAAAGCTGACTCTGCATGTGACAGATGTTGACACGTCTGG